TCCACATTGTTAGCCCTTCTTAGGGAAAAATCAATTGGGAAAACTAGGAAGGCACACATGATTTTCATAACAGAATATAGCTGATATATAACAAGCCAAGTAACACCAAAAACTCCTTGGGATTTGGCTTCCTCTGGAGGAATTCCCTGATTCCTCCAGGTAGTGACTTGGCCATAACCAGCTGAGTTCTTATGATATTCCTGTGGCCTGCAGCAATCCTCAATGAGGTGAATTGATAATTTGAGTGAATGAGTGTAATGTGACAGTAGTGGAGAAAATGCATCACTGTTTTAATCTGGAGAGATCATATTATACATGGACCTTTTCTGTTTTCTGGAAAGAGTCATCAACTTTTTCTGTTGAGCCCCTTAAAGTGAATCAGGATGAAATTTAACACAATGTGTGGAAGTTTCAGTCTTGAATAGCATCAACCAATTTAAATATGTTTGAAATATATGGCAAAGTGAAGAAATAAGAAGGACTTGTCATTGTCCAGAGGCAGGGTAGGAAAAGGTTGGAGCTAGGTTAAATAGGGTAGATTTCTTAAAGTAGCTCCATGGGTGGTTAATAGTATGGCCACTTAAGATATTCTGAGATCATTTCTGATGACAGCATAACCTCAGGAAACTATTCACACACATGTTTATAACTGTTCTTGTTGCTATGACAAGGACCTAACAAAAGCCACTTAAGAAGGAAAAGAAGGGTTTAATCAGGGTCACAGTTTGAGGGGATAAAAATCATAATGATGGGTTGAGAAGGCATAATGATGGCAGCATGAGAGAGCTGGTCACATTATATTTGCAATCAGGAAACAAAGACAGATGAGTGCTGTGCTCAAATCACAGTCTCCACTCTTTTTCCTTCTTTTTACGCAGTTCTGAACACAAGGTGACATTCCTGGTGGACTGTGCACTCCTTAGTTGTACCTCTCTAGGCATGGTCTCACAATACGCACCCTGAAGAATATATACTAGATGATTCTATGTCTAGTCATACAGATACTAAGGACTGATGAGCACATTCAGCCCCAGTCTGCTTGAGACACAAACATGACATTTTAAGTCCTATAACTCCATTCCTGGCCAATAATGCTTCATACTAACCTCTCTATGAAAAATTCAATTATGCTTTCTCTAAAAGTACTGAAAGTTTCAAAGTTTCCCCAAAAACCAAGGTTTAATCTTCTGAGTCTCAGTCTCTTAACTGTATCTCCTGTAAGAGCATTCCTCAATCACATATCTAATATACAACTGCACAGAATAAACAATCTTATCCCCAAGTGGGGAGCTGGGGGCATATAAAGGAAATATAAGACCCAAGGAAGACTGAAACCGAGAAAAGACCATGAAATAAAGCTGTTCCATGTCTGATACCTAGTTTTGATGGCACCATCTTTTCTCCAAAAGTCATGGGTAATTCTGATCTCCAGTTCCTCCACTTGCAAAACACTTTTGCCTTAATCTTTTCTTTGTTCCTTTTGTGCCTCCGAGTTTCATGGGGGATGTCCAGTAGTTCTTGTGTCTCCAATACTCTGTGGTCTCCTTAGGATTTAGGATACTATTTAGAATTAACATTTACAATTTCTTGCGATGTATTTTCCTGGACTTCTTTTAGAGAATCTGACACTGGCAAATATTGCTTGGCCCCAGAAGCTTTCTTGAACCTTGGTACAAACCACTACGACCTCATAATTCTCTAATTTTTCCATTATTGCCATACAAGCACTGTGCAATGCTTCCAAAGTTGTACTGATAGAAGTCTGACCCCCCTCTATACATATAGTGAGTGAACTCTATCTCTGTTGGTGTTGAGTCATGAAAAACACTTTTATGTGTTTTTATAAAGGGAAGAGAACCCCTCAGGGCATTCTCAATTCAAGGTCTCCTTTCTTTCTTGTTATCATAAGTTGGAGCTGTTAGTGGGTAGTATCTTGCAATAAGGGCCCTCCTTCTTTTGTCCCAATGAAACATTTGATATTTCTTTTGAATCACCTTTACCTCTAACAATTAAAACTACGCTCTTTGTACTGAATTTGGCTATATCATCAGCCACACTTGTGCACCTTTAATTGTCAAGTGCACATTTCATTGCACCTCTTCCTGCTGCACAAGTGAATAAGAAGACTGAGCAGGAAGTATCCAACAGAAATTTCTCCAATTGACTCCACTACTGAATAATGCCTCACTTAAATTTTCAGGATATGGACTGAAGGTAACATCAGTGGTTTCTAGCCCAATTGATGCCTTTTACCTCTCTGAAATATTAAGAGCTGGTGCCCCTTTGCTCACATTTCTTTCAGTATTCTGTTGTTCTCTAGCCCATAATTCCAGATTACTCCACATTCCCCCTCCAATCAGTTACAAAAGCCCATTCATGACTGGTTTCTATGCCAGTTTCCTTTCATGCTGCTGTGACAAAGAACCGGCACCATCAAAGTTAAGAAGGAAGAGTTCGTCATAGCCCATGCGTTGAGCAGATAAAGGCCATCAGGAGAAAGAGTATTGGTGTGAGCGTGAAAGTAGTTAGTCACGCAGTTCTATACATAGGGCTCAAATGGACTGAATGCCAGTGCTCAGTACATTTCTCAATTTTACCTTTGTTTTCATTTGAGGCCGCAGTCCTGAGGCAGGGCCACCTACTCTCAGGGGAGCTCTTTCTTCCTCAGTTAAACCTCCCGGGAAATACACTAACAGACACACCCAAAACATGCTTCTATTGGGGGTTCTAAGTCCCTTTGACTAGTAACTGATGATTAACCATCAAACATACTCATTATAGTTTCTTTACTGAAAAAATTAGATAGTTGTTAGAAAATTAAATGAACAAAGGCCTTTGTCAGGGACAAGGACAGAATCTCTAATTAGTGGAAAAATACAGACCCCCAATAAGACAGGGAACTAGATCATCTTACAGTCAGGTTGCCTAGCAACAGGACATTGAGTCAGAGCCCTTGACCCTCTCACCCTGTAAACATCCTATACAAACATCCTGCTAGCTTGCCCCACCTTATGCAGATAACAGCTTCTTGCTCCCCCCACCCTGTAGGAACTATATAAACCCTCCTGGAGAAAAATAAAGTTGCACCTTGATCAGAATCTTGTCTTGGTGTATTTCCTTTGTATATCCTGTCCCTATCATTATGTCCTTAGGGTGGTCGAGAACCCATTGAAGCCCTGCTGTCTGGGGCAACTGGCACCCAACATGGATGAAACCACCTCTTGAGAATTCTGAACGTCGTCTCCCGGAGGAAGACCAAGGCCTTGGTGAAGTTGTTGGATCCCCCTGAAATCGCCTGGTTCTGGATGTGATCCCGGAGGAGAGCGGAGACGGCATAGGTAAGTGATGAGCCATGGGACAGGCAACTTTGTCACAAGATTTATTCATTTCTGGCCTAAAAGAGCCCATCAAGACACAAGGAACTATGCTGTGGATATCACTCTATATAAATAAAACACTGATGGCCAGTGAGCAGACGGGAAATATAGGCAGGACAAAGAGAGAGGAGAATTGGGGAAACAGGAAAAAGGAGGGGAGAGACACTGCAGCCACCGTCAGGACAAGCAGCATGTAAAGACGCCGGTAAGCCACCAGCCACATGGCAAGGTATAGATTTATAGAAATGGGTTAATTTAAGATATAAAAACAGTTAGCAAGAAGCCTGCCATGGCCATACAGTTTATAAGTGATATAAGTGTCTGAGTGATTATTTTATACGTGGATTGTGGGACTGCGGGGCTTGGTGGAAACTGGAGAGAAGCCCTCCAGCAACAGAACTAGGGTAAAGAAAAAAGACCTTAAAGACTTTTTTGAATATTGATGACATTCTTAGGGTCTATAAACGTCCCCCTGACATACGACAGCTTATTAATATAGGAGAAAAAATCTTCAAAGAAGCCTTCTGCACCCCCTCTACCTGCCCCAAGACCCCTGAGTGCTTTCTCGCCTGCCTTCGGTCTGTCCCTTGGATCATGACCTGCACTCTATGGAAGAGGGGATACTCATGACTTTTTTTAAACCTAAAAATCCTCAGAAGTCCTCTCCTGCCCATCTTTATTCCTCTCTTAAGAATTTTACCTCTAACTTCCCTCTAGACCCTGCTAAGGAGGCCTCCCTAGAGGGTTGGTCCAAGGGTAGTGATGTTTACAATTAATTGATCACAACCAGTTACAGATTTCTTTGTTCCTTCTCCACTCCCACTACTTCACTTGAACAGCCATCCTCAAAAACTTGGACACTAAAGAAACTTCTCGGCAACTCCCCCTATGATACAAATGCAGCACAAGCAGGATTCCCTCCCAGCCGAGAGACTATTTGGGCCGGACAAAAACAAAAGTGCCTTTGTTAAACACTTGGCCTTTGAAAACGCAAGCCCTGTCTGCCAGGAACTAGGGCTTGGGGTAGCTACTGGTGCTTTTGGGATTTGCCAAAGCAACCATGAGTCCCCTGGGCAGCCAGAGGGGACAGGGGACATTTTGTCTCTGGATGGGCAGTCACCTGGTGTGCAGGATGGGGCCATCTCTGAGATCATGTTTCTGCTCCAACAGGGTAAGGCTGGTCTGGAGGGGGTGGTGGTGGAGGATCTTGAAGTGTAGGAGGTGTTGGCGATGGTTTGTCTTTATGGGGGGGGGTTGGGCTTGGAGGTGGTTCCTGGGACTGGGGTGCTGGCAGGCCCGGATGCTTGCTGTTATGGAGGGTTGGGTCTTGGTGGCACTGCGGGGAGGGGAGCTTGTGGGGCCATGGAGGGTGGAGGAGAGGGCCTTTCCACCTTGGTGCCTGCCGGGTCCTTCATTCATGGGCAGAGAGTCACAGGGGCCTGCAGGGGGAGGGGCGTTCTGGGGGGACCAGCAGCCTTCTGATTCTCATAATGTGAACATTCAGCATTAACACCATTGCTGATCATCACAGAAAGACTAAATCCTGTTAATGGTGCCATAAAAGAGATACACTCTGCTCCCAGATGGTTACCGGAACATCTGGTTAGAGCTGTAGATATACTTGATCTGCCCAGGAGAGATAGCCCCTCTCCTGAGGAAACTTCTTCTGTTTCAAATGTTGTTCCTCCGGCAAGCAATCCAGGCTGTGGTCTTCATTCACAGCAAACCCCACCAGCCCTTTAGCTCTGTTATCACTCTGCTCAGAGTTCCTGTGTGTGGGAGCCCGTTCTGGGGTTCTTCGTGGCTTTACCCAGCAGGTCCGAATAGAGGATGATCAGGACCACGGGCCTGAGTGCAGGTGTCTGAGATGGTCTGCACTTGGCTGTGCTGGGGGAGGAGGTCTTTTGCTCCACCCCTTGGCGTCTCTATAAAAACCCTGGACCAGAGACAGTCCGGGCCCGTTGGAATAGGTTCCA